AGGTTCCTCCATGTGGTAGGATGTGTCAGGATTTCCTTCTTTTTTAAGGCCAAATAATAATCCATTGTATGGATATAAATTTTATTCATCTAGTTGCCTACACCTTTGGACTATTGGAAATAATGCTGCTAAGAACATGGTTGTATAAGTACCTTTGGGGTACTTCTTTTAGGCAGATGACCAGAGTGAATTGTTAGATCATATGATAATTTTATCTTATGGATGGGGGACAATACTGGGGTTTGAACTCAGGACCTTGGATTACATACTCTACCACTTGAGCAATACCCCCAGCCCTTTTGCTTTCATTATTTTTCATGTCACATCTTTTGCTTGAGCTAGCATGTATCACAATCCTGTTGTTTAGACTTTTTTTTAATTGTGAAAATACAGAGGGGTTACAACTACATGGGCAAGATAATGAGTACATTTCTTATCAAGCATTGTAGCCTCCTCCTTTGTTTCCCCTTCCCATCCTCCCCCCCCTTCCCCCTTACCAAAGTTGTAAAGTTCGTTTTCGACATAATGACTTGTACATCTCATTGTTGCAATGGGTCCAATTTACACTTTCATATAGCTGTTGATAACAGGTGAGTGCCCCACACCAGAAAATGGTTAATAGATGGGGTTTCACTAACATTTTGCTCAGTCTGGCCTTACACTGTGATTGTTCCAATTTCTACCTCCTGAATGGCTGGGATTAGTCATGAGCAACCACAGATGGTGGTTATTCTATTTTTAAAAAACATTAAGTAACTTTCGTGCCATTTTCTGAAGTGGCTGTGCTATTTTACATTCCCACTTACAATGCACAGGGTTTCAATCTCAACACATCCTTGTCAGCAATGGATATTTTCTGCCTTGTTTTGACAGAATTCATCCTAATGTTTTAGCTCATGTTAAATGATTAGGGCAATCACTACTGAGCCAAGACATTGGGAATGTGTTTTGAAAAGTATGTTATCTGTTAGGGAAAAAAATTAAAAGGGATTTACTGAAATGAACTGTTTACCCAAGCAACAGAAAGGCTGAAAAATCACACAGCACAAGTCTATTACTACAGTTACGTATGCTAGAGAACAAAGAAGTGTTACCAGTCCATTCTAAGGCTGCCAAGGGAAAGCCTTGATGGTAAAGGGAGCTGGGAAGGCAGCTCAAAGCAGAGACTGAGCAACAACCTCATTTTCCTATCAGTGCTTTTCACTGTCTGGCAACCAAGCATTGGGTGGAAACCTATGGAGGTCAGAACTGTGCCCCACCCCTCAATACAGGGAAGCAGGGAAGGAATGGTCTTTGCTAGCAAATATACTTTATATGACACAAAAGACCTCCAAGATCTACACATTCTTAAATTTCCTAGACTTATAAAGTTTAGCAAATTAGGCAGTTTCCAGCCAGTGGCTTCAGGAAACAACTACAAAGCCTTATAGGACATTTACTGCACTCAAATGGACATCTCTGTCCACTCATTTCACATACACTTGTTATATCCTGTAGCAAGCTTGTCAGGTCCCGGGAAGGGGTGAGAAGACCCTGCACACAGCAGCAGCTGGCACATTTGTAAATCAAGTGTCACGTCTTGTGCAAGATGAATACCCTGTGTTGGAATGTAGTACAAAAAGACAGGCAGGAGTAAGCCTTGGAGGGTGTGGTTGGAAATGTCATTCTCACAAGAAGAAAACAAATCCATTGTGTGTTCTTGAATATATCAGAGAAACGAATTTAAAGGCAACTCACAGGCTGGCAAAGACTTTATTAAGCTAACAAGGTGGGGAACAAGAAGAGGGAAACATACTCCAAGTGTTTGCAGTGTTGAGCATTAGAGTCAGTGGTCCTTTCATGTTGTTGACACTAGCTAAATGTTATAACCAAATATGCTCTCCAAGAACCACTTTAGTCTCAATGATAGGCACGAGAATAAAGAATTGTCTTGGCAAGGCAGTTTACTTCTGTGCAGAAGGGTGCGCCATCAGCCAAAAACCTGACAAGCAAGCACAAAGAGCAAGCAGTCTGCTCCGGTATTTATCACTAAAGCAGGCCCTGCCCCTCTGCTCCAGCTGGCTGAGCTCAGGTTCATAATCTGCCCAAGTTTGGCTAGTTTGAATAGGGCAAAATGTATTTACATAAGATGATTTTGAAATAAGATGAACAGTTCACAAGTAATCTCAAAATATACCCACACCATCTGCTATTTCTTGAACAGTGGGGGGGGGGGGGGGGGGAGTGGGGGAGGTTAATTCCATCTTGAAAAAACACCAGTTTAAGACAAAACCTTCCATTTCAAAAATCCTTCCTTATCCCAAAGCAGTTCCTCTTTTCTTCAACAAAAGCCAAACAGGAACTTTGAAGCAATACACTTTGATACAAAAAGACAGGTAAGGCATCTGATGGTGTTTTTGTTTGCTTGATTTTATGGTTAGCACTGGGGTTTGAACTCAGGGCCTCATACCTGGCAGACAAGCCCTCTACCACCGAGTCATGCCTGTGAGTACAACATGCCCAACATGTCCAGAAGTCTCACACTTTTCTGCCTGGATTTGCTTCAAATCAATAGTCTCCCTTTTTCAACTTACCTGATGACTTTCAGTCACTTTGCCATTGCAGTTTTAACACTATCACCCAAGCATCATGGATCTAGAGTGATCTTGTGGTAGGAGAGTCTATTTCTTATCACTTTTAGAAGCATTCTTCTCATCAAAAGAATTGCTGTTCCAGGCATTCTTTTTTGTTGTTGAGACTTGAACTCAGGGCCTGCATACTGACCTTGAGCTTCTTTTGCTCAAAGCTGGCACTCTACCACTTGAGCCCCAGCTCTACTTCCAGCTTTTTGTTGGTTAACTCAAGGTAAGAGTCTCATGGACTTTGCCTGCCTGGAGTGGCTGGGAACCACAATCCTCAAACCCCATTCTTCTAGCAGTTAGGATTACAGGTGTGAGCTACAGTTGCCGGTTTATATCAGGTATTCTTACTCTCAGGGAACAATACTTGTCTGGAACAGCATCAGAATTATTTCTCTACTGTATAGTATAGCTGATGAGGAAAAGTGTACTTCAAGGAATGCATATCATGCATGTAGTTTCTTAATATTTAGCACAATGTTTAACTTTGCAGTCCTAACCCCTGGTTTGGCTTGCCAAAATTCCCATGCCACCTGCCTCCAGTTGTGAGACAGTAGAGCACTGTAAAGACCACAATGATGATGACTCATCACACATGTGCCTGGGCTACCGGAAGCCAAACCAAAGATACAGGAGCACCATCACATCTTGGACACAAAGAAGTCAAGAGCTGGGTGCTGGTGGCTCATACCTGTAATCCTAGCTACTCAGTTGGCTGAGATCCAAGGATTGTGGTTCAACGCTAGTCTGCGCAGAGAAGTCCCCCTGAGACTCTTATCTCCAATTAACCACTCAAAAATTACAAATGGTACTGTGGCTCAAGTGGCAGAGCATTAGCCTTGAGCACAAAGAAGAGTTCAAGCCCCACAACAGACCCCCCCCCCCCAAAAAAAAAGATTAGGGCCAGTGTAATAACCATCAAGGCTCCAATAATCATGTCCCCATGGCCTTGCACACTAGAAGGGCAGGGCATCAAGAGGCAAGCCTCACCACTCCAAAGACAGGGCAGGCCACCAGAGGGGGAGGAGCGTCAAGAGGCTGATGTCACCACCACGTGGGGCATGCCACAGGGTGGGGTGTGCCCCTCATGGTGAGGTGTGCCCTTCATGGGAGGGGGGGAAGACAGGAGGGGAAAGCATCCTGAAGGAGAGCAGGACAGGCCTGTAGAGGGCAGGGAAAGCCTCAAGAGGCCATTTGGAACCTCCTTGAGAGGTCATTTGGGGCTTCCTAGAAGCTATTTGGGGCCTTCTTTTAGAGAGGCCTATGGAGAGGCGCTTCCTGGAGCAGAGCAGGAAAGGCCTATGGCGAGGCCTGCAGAGAAGGAAGAAGGAAGAAAAAAGGAAAAGTTTTCAGCTTTGGAGGTTTGGAGACCAACTAATAAGGGTCAGGGCTGCCTATTGGAGGCTTGGAGGTTGGGTGGTTGAGGCTGCTCTTGAGTCTGGATATCTAGCCTGGGACAAGGTAGTCGAGGCCTCCTTTCTGGTGTAAATAAAAATTTTTTGTCATCTTTAACAGTGCCTGGATGGATTGTCTCACTCTTTAGAGGTCATAATTGTCAGGTATGGTTTTACATGCTTGTTATCGCAGCCTTAGGAGATAAAAAACAAGTTTGAAGCCTGCCCAGGTAAAAGTACTTGAAACCATATTAAAAAAAAAAAAAAAAAGCCCAGATGCCAGTGGCTCATACCTGTAATCCTAGCTACTGAGGAGGCTGAGATCTGCGGTTTAAGGTTCAAAGTCAGCCCAGGCAGGAAAAGTCCATGAAACTCTCTATCTCCAATTAACAACCAGAAAGCTGAAGGTGGCAGTGTGGCTCAAGTGCTAGAGTGCTCGCCTTGAGCAAAAAAATCTCAGGGGCAGCCACCAACAGTTCAAGCCCAGGACTGGCACTGGCACGCATGCGCACTCACACACAGGATGTAGCTCAAGTGGTAAAACATTTGCTAAGCATGCAGGAGACAGTGGGTTGATCTCTTCCATATCAAGAAAAAGGGAGGCCAAAAGAAAAAAAAACAGGTTGGATTTCCTAAGGAAAGCGCCTACTTTCTGCAAGTCTGGACGTTTATAAGAGTTAGTTTTTTGGTTCTGAGATAGCTGCAGAGATGCATGCCCTTTTAACTACCATCAGTGGTCTGGAGCGCCCCTATAGAGTCCGCTATCTTACCTAACTACACTGGAGTTTCAGGGACATCGCAGAGTTGTAAACAGAATATTCCCATCAAGAAGGCTCTCGTGACGAGCACGCCATCAGTGGTGACCGACTGCGAACACGAGGGTGGAGCCAAACACAGGTGCCGACGGCAGACAACTCAGGGACGGCCCTGAAAACGCGGCTCCACAAAGCGACCACAGCTGCGCTTCCGCGGACGTCACAATCCCCGCCCCTTCCTCCGCGGCTGACCAACCGCCGGTCGTGGGCCGGGGAATGCCGGAAGCGGTGGTAGCCAGCGCTCGCCCCCGGCACCCCGGACAGCATGGCAGACCTCCACCGCCAGCTGCAGGACTACCTGGCACAAGGGAAGGCGGGAAAGCCTGCGGATGCGGAGCCGCTGCTCGCCTCCGGGCCGGCAGAAGCGCCCGCGGGAGGGAGCGGGCCGGCGGGCGCGTGGCTGGGCCGCGCGAGCCTGCGGTGGCCGTGGGCGCCGGGCCCCGCGGAGCCCGAGGCCGGGCCGGCGTGTCTGCCGAGCGTGACGCGCGGGCAGCGCTGGGCGGCTGGCGGCGGCTGCCTAGTGCTGGCCGCGCTCTGCTTCGGCCTCGCGGCGCTCCACGCTCCCCTGCTACTGCTGCGCGCCCGCAAGTTCGCGCTGCTGTGGTCGCTGGGCTCGGTGTTGGCGCTGGCGGGCGGCGCGCTGCTGAGGGGCGGCGCGGCATGTGGGCGCTTGCTGCGCGGCGAAGAGACGCTGTCGCGGCCCGCGCTGCTGTACGCCGCCGCGCTGGGCGCCACGCTGTACGCCGCGCTGGGCCTGCGCAGTACGCCGCTCACGGCGCTCGGCGCCTGCGCGCAGCTAGCCGCGCTTCTATACGCGCTGGCCGGGCTGCTGCCCTGGGGCGGGGTTGCCGCCCTGCGCCTGGCGCTTGGCCGCCTGGGCCGCGGAGCCGGCCTGGGCGGCGCGCTGCCGGTGTGAGCTCGCAGAGCCCGCCGCCCTGGAACGCGGGACACGGAGCCGTCGCGGGACTCGCTGGCCCAGCTGGACTGCGGCGCCTGTTCCCAGGCCGCCACCCGCCCCGCGACGAAGGCCTGGACCTTGACGGTGACCTCAGAGCTGAGCCGGAACTCCAGGATTGCCGCTTTTCCTGCGGGCCTGGAGCAGGAGACACTCGCGGGGTTGACCAAATGCTGTGAACGCACCCGAAGGAGCTGCTGCTGCGCCAGCGAGCTTTAGATTGCGCCGTTAAGAAGAAAAAAGGCACTTTGAATTAGCTGCTTCCGTGGCTTTTCTCGACTTTTCGTCACTTGAAAAATCCAGGGGTGTGTGTAGTTGGCATACATCTTGTTTGGGCGATGCTCCGCTATTTTCCCTTGCTCAGTGTAAATGAACATAGAAGTTACGACATTCAACACTAAGTTTAGCTGCCGAATTTTAAAAGGCAACAACGGTTTACCTCTTTTTAAAAACTAACTTGTTAACATGGTGCCTTCTAATATTGGAGGAAAAGTAGACAAGGAATGCAATGGACCGAAAGAGGAATTCTCTGCGCTCCGATACCTGGTAGTCAATTCAGGTAAAGCTCATGGTATAGGTCTCTGCGTGACGGACCTGTGGAATCCCAAAGATAATTCTACATGCCATGTTGGATGAAGATCAGTTTCTCTTGTGTTCTCATTCGCTTTTGAAAGCAGTTTGCTATTTGCAGGCAGGTCCTAATGCGGTGGGAAATGCTTTTCCTATGCAATCGCTGTTATTTCTTTTTTTCTCACCACAGCTCAGCCTGGTTTTGTTTTGGTAGGGAAGTTATTTTGTAGAGATCTTCACCACTTACTTTTACAAAGCCTACCTTTATTTATTGCCAGAAAGTATGGATCCAGTATACTGACAAGTCCAGAAAAATTACACATTTTGTAACCATAAACTACAAAATAAAATGTTTAGAATTTAATCATATGTAGCTTTCACTTGACTAGCAGAATGACTTGAAGAATCACACAATACATAGTGACCTCTCACCTATCACGGGAGTTACATTCCAGAGACCCTGGGATAGGTGAAAATCTGAGGTAGCAATAAAGGAACCGCGATATAGTAAGAGATAACTGTAACGTTGCTACCCCGAGGATTTTTCACCTATCACGGGGTCTCTGGGATTTAACTCTCGCGATAGGCCCGGGATCACTGTATAGGTGTGCAGAGTTGGAAAGCCACTGCTGTTGGTGCTAGATTCCAGTGTTACCTTAACAAAGCGTGCAGGGCCACAAGAACACTGGAGCCCCAAAGGGGTGCTCCGCCATGAGCCCCTCCCCAAGATGTGACAGTAGAACAGAGTGATGGGCTACCACTCTTAAGACTAAGGACACTTTGTTCCTATGTTGGCAGAAAGCTTCCTACCTAAGTAAATGCTGTATTTCCAAGATGATTTTTTTTTAATGGGGAAGGCCTGTGTCACTGGCTACTTTTTAGCCCCCCTCAGTTAAAATCTGTTATGAATTTAGAATTTGCATGGCTGATTTTACAATGTTCAACACACTTTTATGTTGATGTTATATTGAAGTCTAGATCTTTAAAAATTCTGCTTCAACACTATCTTAGGAATTCATTAATTGAGCCGGGCATCAGTGGCTCATGCCTATAATCCAGTAGCTACTCAGGAGGCTGAGAGCTGAGGGTCGCGGTTCAAAGCCAGCCCAGGCAAGAAACTCTGTGAGACTATTATCTCCAATAAACCACTAGAAAACTGAAAGTGGTGCTATGGCTCAAGTGGTAGAGCGCTCGCTTTGAGCTGAAGAGCGCAGGGACAGCACCCAAGCCCAGAGTTCAAGTTCCACGACTGACCAAATAAAAAAAAAATCTAAGTTCTATAACTCAAAAAGCACAATATTGTGTATTTTGATAGTGTTGTCTTAAAATGCCATATACAGTCTAATGTTTAATGTAGAGATTTCTCTTTTACCTAAATGAATTCTCAGATTGTGATATTTATCTATATTGTTAAATTCTTTCCACATGAAAGATGGGAGCCTATTCTAAGTCTCTGTAGCCCTTTTTAACTTCTGGGAATTGGATTATAGTTTTATTTTATGCCATACAAATGATGGGCAAGTAAAACTTATCCACAAACCTGAGCAATCCTGAGCATTTATGTTTTTGATAGGGTACTGATAGATAATGTTTTTAATTCTGAAGTAAAGTGAGCTGGGTGCCTGTTATCTATGCTAATCAGAGAGGCTGAAATGAGGATCACTGTTCCAGACTAGCCCAGACAAAACAGGTCATGTTTCAGACACACTGGCACATGCTTGTCGCCTCAGCTATAGCAGGATGCATAAACAGGAGGATCTTGGACCAGGTCTGTCTGAGACAAAAGTCCTTACCTCAAAAGGGTTCAGGTCATGGCTGACACAGTAGAGTGCCTGCCTAGCAAGTTCAAAGTCCGGAATTCTAACTGCAACATTTTCTCACTCTGTGGAAATAACTTAGCTGTTACCATTTTCCCACTAATAAGGCCCAACTACACCAGTGTCCCTTTTATCAGCAATCACCAAGATTTCCAGTAAACTTATGTCCAATGCCAAACTGACGCTGGCAATACAGTAATGGCTTGCACATAGACTGATAGGGCTGCCACAGGCTAATAAAAGCTTCCTTATAAAATAAAACAGTTCGGCATCAGCATGGAAATAGGAAAGGGGTGGGATCTCAAACTGAATTTTTACTTTCAGTCCAAACTGAACCAAATGTTTTATTTAAAACAAGAACATGTCATGGATAAGAACTTTTGTCTTATTATAAATTAGAGTTATCGTCTACTTTCAACATTGGTATTTCCACAAAGCTAGTAATGGAAAAGTAGGAGTATATTTTGAAAAATTTAGGGGATATTTTGTCCATTTCTTCTTCAACTTAGTGTGTGAAGTGATTGTCAGTAAAGTATGTCATTAATTTCTGGCTTACAGCACATTCCTTTCCTCGTAGAAACAAAGCAGTTTAAGTCTAAAGTGAGATTGCCAGAGATGTAACCAAGGCAAAGCTCCTAGCTGCACAACTAGAGCTCAAGGCTCAAGTTTTTCTTCAGAGTAGGATTTTCCATCTGCCACACCCTGTTTGAAGCCCTGAGCCTGCTTCCAATTACATTAGTTATTAAGTCTCCTCTGTAACAACAGTGTCACAGCATAGATATGAACATCGATGCAAGCACACGGTTCACAAATGAAATCCATTTAGAAGACAGCAGTTCCCTGAACTGAACACCAACAGTAAGTGAACAACATCCCCTCATATCAGATGTGATGGAAAGCAAGGGTTTTCTTAAGGCAAGCACTTGACGACCAGTTTTTGGTGGGTTTTTTTTTTTTTCTGTTAATTCTTGCGTAAATCACATTCTGTATTCATACAAAAACAATGTTTTTTTTTTCCTCTGACAAACTGTACATATAGAAACAAATTTCCAATTGGACATGAACTTAAATTATAGAGGTGCTCCATGTCTTGTATACTTAAAAAAAAAAAAAAAAAAGGATTCCAGCTTTTATCTTCACAAAACAACATAGGAGTTGGAGCAATGAAGGTGGACAGGACAAGACAGCCGGCCACTCTAGGTGGCCAGCAGCAGTCTCTTCATCTCCAAGACCTCAGCAGGGGTTCCTGGGACACTCAGAAGAGTTCAGAGCTACATTGGTGCAGGCTTCTTTTTGCTTTAAGTCCACACAGATTCTTAAAATACTGTCCAGAGAGGCCTAGGGGTTAGCCTCCACTTCTACCGACCCCTACCACCACCTCCCCTTGAAGCACCTCTCCTTGGTGGCCCAGAGTTCATGTTACTCCCTCTACCCCAGTTACTGCCACTCCTGCCCCCTCGAGAAGGGGTGCCACTGCCCGGAGGTCCCCCAAAAGGTTCGTCTCTGTGGTATCCATCATGGTGGTCGCCATCCAAGGAGCTGGAGCGCCCCGATTTTGGCACTCTCTGGGAAGGTCCTGGGCCCCCTCGTCCTGAAACAAAACATTGATTTCACAAGTGACTTTTTGCATTAGGTGTTTGTCCATACCTAGTATACAGGCTTTCACTGATTACAGTAGATCATTTCTGGGAGGTTCTAAAGAGATTCAGAGCAATAAAGGTATGCTTCCACCCCCACTTCCTGACCTGAACCTACCCCATTCCCAGCCTAATACGTGGCCGTGGTCCCCAGAGCTGTGTGATGAAAGACAAAAAGCTAAGAGGAAACCACCACACTGGAACATATGGAAGTGTGTCTGTTCTCCTTGCCACCTATTTTAAGGAAGTATTTCAAAGCAGTGGCTAGACTCTGAAAGTAATTAAGGCATCTGATTATATAAACACAATGGGATTATAATTATCCATTAGAAAGAACGATACCATTTGGAAAGAAATGGAAAGACCGGGAAACAATCATGTTTAAGGAAGCCAGGTGCAGAGAGACAAAGGACCATGCTCTCCCTTCCAGGTGGAAGCCAGGTTTAGCCTATAAACTTCTAAGTAAATGTGTAGGGTAGAATGCAAGTGTATACAAATGTATTCACTGAAATACAGTAAATTCAAGGGAGATGTCAAATAGTATAATTGCTTAGAAAGGCAGAGTCAAAGTTCAGCAAAATCAGGTGTGGGTATTTGAAAGGGGGTGGTGTGGGGGTCAAAGGAAAAGGGGTATGCAGGAAAGTCCATGAGACTCTTATCTCCAATAAACCACTAGGAAACCTGAAGTGGCATTGTGACTCAAGTGGTAGCTAAAGAGCTCAAGGACAGTGCCTTAGCCCAGAGTTCAAGCCCCACAACTGACCAAAAAAAAAAAAAAAAAAAGCAAATGTTAGGTTAGTGATAGGATTCCAGGATCAGTGTTCCAGTGTTTACTGTGACTATTCCATGACTATTCTGTGGGGTACTTTGGATTCCTTTTACACAGTTTAGGGAAATAAAGTATTTCTTGAAAAACCACCCCTCCCCCCCCAAAAAAAAAGCAAAACACACTGGCTTTCAGATTTATTTCTACTAGGTTTGAATTAACTTGTTTTAGCCTTGGTCAAACATGTTAATTTTATCTTTCAAAAACATTTTCTCAGCTAAGAGCAAGTGGCTCACACCTGTAATCCTAGCTAGTTAGGAAGCTGAGATCTGAGGATCCTAGTTCAAAGCCAGCCTAGGTAAGAAAGTCTAAGATTTTTGTCACCAAATACCCAACAGTGAAACAGTGGCTAAAGTGGTAGAGCACAGGTCCTTGGCCAAGAGACTACAAGAGTATTCTTAGTGCCCAGTAAGCCATTTCACAGCACACTGGCAACAAAATGTATTTGGGTGAAGGAGGTCTCCTGGTGATGCATCAGTAATTTCTGGAAGCTCTGCAAATGTAACACCAGTGATGCATAAGTTGGGACACACAACAGTTGTGTTTCTTGCAGCGCCCAAGCACACAACACAGGCCACTGCCTAACCCACCTGAGGCCAGACTTGTAGTCAGCATTTGGTGGCTGCTACCTGGCTCAAAGTGCTACCTTTTATAAAATACAGACACGAAAGTTTCAAAGTAGAAATATAATCTACTGCCATCCTGGAAACATACCCTGAGTACTGTGATCTGCTCCGAAGCAGTGTACCTCCCAGATTAAAAAAAAAAAAAGGCAGCACAAGCAGGGTGCCAATGGCTATGACTGTGATGATCTCAGCTACTCAGGAGGCTGAGATCTGAGGATTGCAATTGAAAGCTAGCCTAGGAAGGAAAATCTGTGAGACTCTTATTTTCAATTAACCACCCAAAAACCTTAAGTAAAGCTGTAGCTCAAGTGGTAGAGCACCAGCCTTGAGTGAATAAGCTCAGTGACAGTGCTCAGGCCTTAATTTCAAGCTCCAAAGCCAGCATTGAGGACAACTTGAAAAGCTCTAGATAGTCATCAGTGGAGGCAGGACGTCACTGCTGACCAGTCACCAGGAAG